AGTCAAAATTATCCTTAGAGGAATATGGAAATGTTTCTCGGTTATGGAGGTGATAAAGAGTTCGACATAAAGAGTTACGTCGATGCAAGCTTAACACCTATCCGGATAGCTCTGAGTAGAGATACCGGATACGTATAATGGAGCAATAATTTGGAATAGCTCCAAGTGGAACGTGGTAGCAGCATCTACGATATAAAGTTTTGCGAAATACATAGGGATCTGAATATGGCAAGACCAGTTGACTACAACCTCTCTCACAAGCATAACATGATCAAACCCTGAACTCATTGAGTTTTAATCACATAGTGATGTGAACTAGATTATTGAATCTAGTAAACTCTTTGGATGTTGGTCACATGGCGATGTGACATGCGAGTGTTAATCACATGGCGATGTGAACTAGATTATTGACTCTAATGCAAGTGGGAGACTGTTGGAAATATGCCCTAGAGGCAATAACAAATTAGTTATTATTATATTTCATTGTTCATGATAATCGTTTATTATCCATGCTAGAATTGTATTGATAGGAAACTCAGATACATGTGTGGATACATAGACAACACCATGTCCCTAGTAAGCCTCTAGTTGACTAGCTCGTTGATCAATAGATGGTCACGGTTTCCTGACCATGGACATTGGATGTCGTTGATAACGGGATCACATCATTAGGAGAATGATGTGATGGACAAGACCCAATCCTAAGCCTAGCACAAGATCGTGTAGTTCGTTTGCTAAAGCTTTTCTAATGTCAAGTATCATTTCCTTAGACCATGAGATTGTGCAACTCCCGGATACCGCAGGAGTGCTTTGGGTGTGCCAAACGTCACAACGTAACAGGGTGGCTATAAAGGTACACTACAGGTATCTCCGAAAGTGTCTGTTGGGTTGGCACGAATCGAGACTGGGATTTGTCACTCCGTGTAAACGGAGAGGTATCTCTGGGCCCACTCGGTAGGACATCATCATAATGTGCACAATGTGACCAAGGAGTTGATCATGGGATGATGTGTTATGGACGAGTAAAGAGACTTTCCGGTAACGAGATTGAACAAGGTATCGGGATACCGACGATCGAATCTCGGGCAAGTATCGTACCGCTAGACAAAGGGAATTGAATACGGGATTGATTGAAATCCTCGACATCGTGGTTCATCCGATGAGATCATCGTGGAACATGTGGGAGCCAACATGGGTATCCAGATCCCGCTGTTGGTTATTGGCCGGAGAGTTGTCTCGGTCATGTCTGCATGGTTCCCGAACCCGTAGGGTCTACACACTTAAGGTTCGATGACGCTAGGGTTATTAGGAAGACTTGTATGTGATTACCGAATGTTGTTCGGAGTCCCGGATGAGATCCCGGACGTCACGAGGAGTTCCGAAATGGTCCGGAGGTAAAGATTTATATATGCAAAGTTGTTGTTCAGGTTCCGGGAAAAGTTCGGTTTTTTCCGGTATTGTACCGGGAAGCTTCCGGAAGGTTTCGGAGGATTCCGGAGGGGTCCGGAGGTCCGGAAAATGTTCCACCACGTCCAATACAGCAGCATGGGCTATAGGGGGGGCGCCCTAACCTTAATGGGCCAAGGGCACCAGCCCCCCCAAGGCCCATGCGCATGGGAGAGGGGAAACCCTAAAGGGGAGGGCCTCCACTTGACTTGGGAGGCACTCCTCCCCCCCTTGGCCGCCGCCCCCAACCCTAGATGGGATCTAGGGGGGCCGGCGCCCTCTCCCCCAACTATAAATAGTGGAGGGGTGGGAGGGCGGCCACACCCTTGAACCTGGCGCAGCCCTCCCTCCTCCTACACCTTCTCCTCCTCCATAGTGCTTGGCGAAGCCCTGCTGGAGAACCACAAGCTCCATCACCACCACGCCGTCGTGCTGCTGTTGGACTCTCTTCCTCAACCTCTCCCTCCTCCTTGCTAGATCAAGGCGTGGGAGATATCCCCGTTCCGTACGTGTGTTGAACGCGGAGGTGCCGTCCGTTCGGCGCTAGGATCATCGGTGATTTGGATCACGACGAGTACGACTCCATCAACCCCGTTCACTTGAACGCTTCCGCTTAGCGATCTACAAGGGTATGTAGATGCACTCTCCTTCCCCTCGTTGCTAGATTACTCCATAGATTGATCTTGGTGATGCGTAGAAAATTTTAAATTTCTACTACGATCCCCAACAAATGGGAGCTTCAATATTTCTTTCGTATATTTGAACCAAACCCAACCTAGCGGTGGAATAACTAGAGTAGATCAAGGACAGAAGATAAAAGGAGCACAAACATACCGAACGAAAGGTGAAGGAAGATCTAAGAAATCGTTCGAGGAAAGATGTTATGATCGTTAGAGAATAATAGCTCACTATATTAATGACCACAATGGTAACACGGTAAGCTAGCAGATAGAACATCATGAGAGAGAACAACAAGAGTGAAGATGTTTACGAACAAAATAGAGATTGAATGATTACTGACACACGAAAGAAAAGTAAACAACGAATGAACGAAAGAGTGATAGAGAGAATGGTATGCAAAGATAATATAGGATGAAAGCAAATATGCTACTGCAATGAATGTATGATCATGAAAACTATCGAACCACAGAGCACACAATAAAGATTATTGAAGGGATAGTAGTAGAGTAGAAAGGACCAGTGGTGCTCGATGGAGACAGATGGATTTGGTAGACCAGTTCACCCTTCTGCCAAAAGACTATGTTTGATTGGAGAGACTTGTGATGAACACATGAGCAAACCTCTCTTCGTACTATTCTCCTTCAACCTGAAGCTGACCAGACTTCGGTTGATTTCACTCGTGGTAGATACTTGTCGGCGATCTCCAAACCTTTGACAGACTTCTTCATGAACCATAATTACTCTTGATTGCTGAAGACTTTGCTTGGTGAAGACAATTACTCTTCGACACTGAAGCTGACACCTATCTGTCTAGAGAATGCGTAGCTCTCAAGAGTAATAGGTACAAGAAATGTAACTCAGAACTACTATGATGCTCAACCTCTGTCTAAGTGTTGGCTCTTGATTTTCTCTCAGTCCATCTTAAACTCAAATCTCTCGAGAGGGGATGCTCAATCAATCTTCTTAGAATCATAACCAGAGCAGTCAACAGACAAAGTTGGCCGAACAACACGTTTCCAACGATCAAATTTTGAGCACAATGGCAACATTCTTTGCGGAGCAAGAAATGCTAACTCCTCGGTGCGAAAGATATATATCTCCTGCAGCTTCGAAGAACAACGCCTTCTGCTGTCAGGTAATCATTCGGAACAAAAAGAGATTTCTCCCAGTCATTCATAGGTTTCGGCTAAGCATCACAGAAAACCTAATCTTTGAGAACCCATTCCTCTATTAATAGTACGAAGGTCCTATGACTCAAATAATAGAAAGAAGAATGACAACAGTCATTCTACCGTGGACACACCGAACGAATATTGCTTTGCGTCAGCAATAATTTTGAGGGGTCAATTCCTATGCAATCTTCTCGCTTTCATTTCTTCTCGACATGTAGCTCTTCCTTCTATGCCACATAGATAATCTTCGGTGAAGCTCTTCGAACTTCAACACCGAACATAGCATTCTCCTTGGGCTTGCATGGACTATTTCTCTTAGTGTGCACTAGCAAACAAATCAGTGCATGATTATTTCTGACAACAATCTCCAAAACAAAAGGGGGCCAACTATTGCACCAATAGGTTTTCTATTTAGTGCGGAACTCGCTACTCTCCCTTCCCTGTCCCTTGAACACCCGTGAGACTCCTGTATTTTTGTTATGCGAGTAACTGAAAGGGCTTAAGCCCAGATAAAGAATAGCGTTTTCTGGCTTGCCTCGTCTCCCAAGCTTAGGTTTTCTCCGCCTCCCACCGGTCCTGCCGCCGATCCGCCTCATCTTCGGTGGTCTTAGGGCCATGGAGGTGTGGTGGATCCCAGCCTTGGCCGGTGGGAGGGCTCCATTTTAGATGTTTCTTTGTGCTTAGGGTTTGTGTCTTGCTCAGGAAGGCAAGATGGCGGCGGTTCCCTGAAGATGGATTAAGGTTCTCCCCGCCTAGCCCCGTTCTGGTGGTGCGTCTAGCACCGTCGGTAGATGTCTGGAGATGTGTCTTCGGCTGATCTATCTTTAGTGGATCTGCTCGGATATGTTAATCATTTGTCTATGATTGTGTGTCTTTAGGTTGGATCCTTTCGATCTACGCTACTCTTCATCGGCGATGGTTGTTGTCTGGTGCGCAGGTCCTATGGGGTCTTGGCACGAAGAACCAGTCCGAACATATCCGAGCAATGCCTTCAACAAGATAACGACACAAAAAATATCGCCATTGCGAGGTTAACCAACTTGGGTCAGACATAGGTTTTCACCCCGGGGCTCATCAAAGTCAGTGTTGAGATGTCGCCGCCACTTTTCCACAATCTCAGCAGGTGCATGCATTTGGCTGCACGACCGTGGCTGTAGTGCTGTAGTACGTGGTGCCCGTCCCTGCTCCCGTGTCAAAATCATGCCGTAAGACTAACCGAAGAATAACTTAGACTAGTAACATGCATACAACCAGTCTATGTTACTACCTCTACAGTGAGGAATAACATATGGTGATGCCATGCAACTTGGCAACTTCCCGACTGTCCACTACGAATAGTTTTTCCCGGCTTCGACGAGGGAGGGGCGATTGTGGGCGGCGCGCCTTCAGCTCGTTTCAACTCTTGTAGTCGTCGCTAGGTGGTCTATGACACTGGACATAATTTTTATTATTTCTGGTGTTCGTCATACTGCCATGATTGGTGATGAGTTGATCAGAAGTTTTTCCACACAAAAAAAACCGATTAAAGAAAAAAGAAACCATGCACGGTATCATGGTTGCTACCTAGAAAAAAAACACAAAATGACAACTATTCTATGCTTTGTTCTTGGATGAATTTTCGTAGGTGACGATAGCCCACCTTATTCATCATCTCTCTCTTTTTTTGAGCTGCCTTAGTCATCATCTTTAATTTGCCGCGAAATGTTTAAACAAATGACATGCAGGTGTTGGATAACTCCAGTGAGGTACTCCTACGTGGTACGCCCGCTTCAAACACACTCCCGCTGTGGAGCGCACGCGGCCACCCGTAACCATGCATCTGAACAAACTAATTCTCTTGTCTCCCTCCTCGAGGAACCAAGAAACCCAGCCTCGATCCAGTCTCCCCGCATCCATCGCTCTCCGGATCGACCGATCCGGCCGATGGAGGTGTTCGACGAAGTGCACTTCGTGCGGCTCCGGTGCCGGGTGCGGCGGACCAAGTACCTGGCGGCGGACGACGACGGGCACGGCGTGTGCCTGTCCAGCCAGCGCGGCGCGCACAACACGGTGTGGGCGGTGCAGGCCATGGAGGGCGCGGTGGAGGGCGCCGAGGGCGGGCCCTTCGTCCTCCTCCGCGGCGCCTATGGCCGCTACCTCTTCGCCACGGATGTGCAGGCCGCCACGGGGCCCGGCCACGGCGTCCAGGCCGCGCAGCAGGCCCGGCCGCACCCAAACACGCCGAGGTGCATGCTCTGGCAGGCCATCCGGCGGCAGGGCTCCTTCGTGATCCGCAGCGCCGGGGGCCGGTACCTCCGCGCCAACGGCAAGTACGTCCGGTGGCGCACGGCCGTCACCGTCGCCGGGGACGACGCCAGCGCCATGCTGCAGTGGGACGTCGAGGTCGTGCCCCTTCGCCTGGACCGCCCTACCCTCCTCGATCCACCGCCACAGGTTCTCATTGCCCCGGCGATTCCCGCATTGTATATTTGCATGGCGATTGATCGTGATCGATCGGTTCCATCCGACGTGCAGCCGATGCGGAGGCGGCGCCACCCGCCGACGGAGGAGGAGGTGGCGCGGCAGGTCCGGTACATCCGCGCCGGCGTGGACGGGGACATAGACGAGACAGGGTGGCGGACGGTGCGGATCAGCACCAACAGCCTCATGCAGCTGCGGCTGACGCTGGCTAACCTGCTGGGCCAGAACCGGTCGGCGCTCCACACCACGCTCTGCGTCCGCGCCGGCGCCTACGCCGACCTCTCCCCTCTCCTCATCGACCTGCCCATCGGCAACGACCGCCTCGACATCGTCGTCATCACCCACGGCACACCAGGTCCGTAAGAATTCTTCACTGTCCTCATCAAGCACTCATAGATAATCTTACCAATTGTCAGGACTGACTACTCGATGTTGATGGAATTTCAGTGGACAACACGTTGCTGTACCCAAACGTCAATGCGCGGAATTGAACATCATGCAGGGGGTGAAGCGACATGGTTAAGGGTTCTCTCATTCGTTTCGGCTCAGAGAGTAGCGTATCCTGGAGCAACTGCTAGTGTACATCGGACTGTCAGAGCTGTTGGCGGGGAGAATGCTTGTAGAACAGGGTAGTACGTCGTTTTGACACTCAGTAGTAGTTGCTCAAGATGCTGAATAGACAGTGATCTGCCTTGTGATTTTGCTCTCATCTTTAGCATCTGGCTGGTGGTCTGTAACGATTTTTGGGTACAATGCTGCTACATGGAAATAGTAGTAGTATTTGATATGAATACTGTCCAGAAATACATAGAGATCCGTTTAATTGGTCTTTTATGGGAAACACAGTTGTAGTTCCTTCCTACTGTGTATATTAAATGTTCATGTGTAGGAGGAGCAAGGGGTCTACCCGGTGAAAATCAGGGGGCTGAGATAATTAGTTTGAAAGATTAAGTAAAAGTAATTACATAAGGGCTGAGATAATTAGAGGAGGATATACCCCCGTTCTCTTCATCTGGGCGATGCATACAACCAGTTTATTAATCATTAATAAGAGCATCTCTAGCAGACCCCGCATCCCGCCGACCCGCAAAACGCATTTGCAGTTCGCGGAAAAAGGTTTTGCAGGTCGGCGCAGACGGCCGCAGAGGTAGACCCTGCAAAACGTACTCGTATAAAAGGATATTCGCGGAATATGCTCTTTTACGGGTTGGTTTTAGCTGCGGTAGAATAGATCCCTCAAACTTAAGCTGTAAAAAAGAATATTCGCTTATATTCTTTTCCCACGTTTTCTTCTTTCTCTCGTCCATGTCCACGGTCAGTTAGCTTGCTCCCGCGAAATCAATGAATAGCACACGAAGCTGTCAAAAATGAAGCCGCAGACAACCAACTACGAAGGGCATAAAGTGCCGAGCCAGCAAGCTCCTCCGTCGGGGCTCGAATCGATCGAGAGCTAGCTAGCTAGCTAGCTCAGCTCGAATCCATCCAGGGGCGAGCTAGCTAGCTAGCTCAGCTCAAATCCATCTAGGGGCGAGCTAGCTAGCTCCTCCGTCGCTGCAGCGAGAGACACGGCCGGGGCTAGCTAGCTTGCTTGCATCGTTTCACAGCTAGCTAGCGCGGCCGGGGGCGGGGGACGGGCGCGGCGGGTAGGCAGCGGCCGGGAGCGGCGGATAGGCACGGTGGCCGGGAGCGGCGTACGGGCGCGGTGGCCGGGCGGCCGGGTGAGCTTTATGGCGTTGGTGGCAGCAGAGATTTCTCAACCGTCAACGTTGACCGGTATGCAGGGCCTTGATAAAGTTGCCTATAAAATTGTAGATATAAGGGTTTCGGCCTCGCGTTTATAGGGCCTTTAAAAAAAATTAATGGTCGGACGATATTAGGGGATCTGTTCGGGCCTATTTTTTCGACTGGAACTGTAGAAAGCGGTTATTTTGCGGGTTTGACCACTTATGCGGGATCTGCTAGAGATGCTCTAAGGACCTTACAAAATAATACATGTATAAGGCTGAAGTCTCCATCTTAGCAACACTTGTTGCTACTACTATCCCCTTGATGAAGGGATGCCGAATGTCCGAGCCGAATATCAAACAGACATCACGCCAAAACCTAACATCTAAAGCCGGGTACCCCATCCAAGCCACAATGCCGGTACTGGGTCACACACTGGTCCGACGCACTCTAAGTAGGAACGACATGCGCATGTTGCAAGGGCCGTCACCACCGTCTTCCACCGATCTATCTTCAGAGTAGATACTGATGCATCGACCTTGCTAGGCCTCTCTGCCATCGACGCCACCAGGACGCCAGACCGCGTAGTCCTCCCGCACGAGTCCATCGTCGCGCCGAGTCTTCACTGCGCCACGCCGCCGAGATCCGCCGCCATCAATATCTAGGATAAAGCACCGCTCCACCATCGTCCACTGGCCCCTCGGGCTCGTGTACACCTCCAAGAATGACGCCCCAAGGGGGAAACGACACAAGAGCGCCCCGTCTGCGTCGGCTGCGACCCACGCCGCCGCACCTCCGCTCACCGCCTCGCCCAACCGGCTGCGTCGCACCAGCTGCGTCGCGCCGCCTATACTGCTGTCTCGCGCCAGCTTCGCCCGTTGTCGGTGTCAAAACCGGCGGATCTCAGGTAGGGGGTCCTGAACTGTGCGTCTAAGGCGGATGGTAACAGGAGGCGGGGGACACGATGTTTACCCAGGTTCGGGCCCTCTTGATGGAGGTAATACCCTACTTCCTGCTTGATTGATCTTGATGATATGAGTATTACAAGAGTTGATCTACCACGAGATCGTAGAGGCTAAAACCTAGAAGCTAGCCTATGGTATGATTGTTGTTGTCCTACGGACTAAACCCTCCGGTTTATATAGACACCGGAAAGGGCTAGGGTTACACAAAAGGTCGGTTACAAAGGAGGAGATATACATATGCGTATTGCCTAGCTTGCCTTCCACGCCAAGTAGAGTCCTATCCGGACACGAGACGAAGTCTTCAATCTTGTATCTTCATAGTCCAACAGTCCGGCTGAAGTATATAGTCCGGCCGTCTGAGGACCCCCTAATCCAGGACTCCCTCAGTAGCCCCTGAACCAGGCTTCAATGATGATGAGTCCGGCGCACAGATTGTCTTCGGCATTGCAAGGCGGGTTCTTCCTCCGAATACTCCATAGAATATTTTGAATACAAGGATGAGGTCCGGCTCTGCAAAACAGATTCCACATACCGCCGTAGAGAGAATAATATTTCCACAAATCTAATCTGCTGACAACTTTTCATAGCGTGACATCACACCATGGCCCGGTCATTATTCGAACCGTTTTTCCCAGCCCGCCACTACACGTCTCACGAGGCGGTTTTATTGGCACGTCTTGTCGAAGCAGAGATCGTGTTCCCCTTATTACGGGATTCTCATCAATACGGGTGCGGGTAACTCAATCGTGCCTGTCGGTATGACTCCTCGATTTAGGCAAGTTCCAAACGGCCACGCGGAGGACGCTTGATATTCACCCTCTTTATAAAGGGACCAAGGCATGTCCTTTTTTCTCGCGCTCGATCAAACCCTTCCCCCACCTTGAGTTCCAACACCCAAGGCTCAGACTAAGCTCTTCGGACCTTCAATCATGTCCGGATTCAACCTTCAAGGTCGGTGGATGCCCTCCTCTGTCACAGAGGAGGACATCAAGAAGCTAAGGGAGGCCAGATATCTGACCGCCGAAATCTCGCACAGGCTGCCTGCCCGAGGACAGGTCATCCCCACTCCTGAACCCAACGAGAGTGTCGTATTTGTTTCACACTTCCTCTGAGGGCTAGGCTTTAGTATTGATTCCTTCGTCAGAGGGCTCATGTTCCATTATGGGATCGACTTCCATGATTTAGCTCCAGATTCCATCCTTCATATCTCGTCGTTCATCGTCGTATGTGAGGCCTTCCTCCACATCACCCCACACTTCGGCTTATGGCTCAAGACCTTGAATGTAAAGCCGAAGATGATCGATGGGCGACACGTAGAATGCGGAGGTGCCACAATAAGCAAAGGCGTCGATGCCCCATGGCCAAAGGGTTCCTTCCCGGAGATATCCAACTTATGGCAGCGGGAGTGGTTTCACATCATAGCTCCCCGAAGTACTAAGTGGGTGGCTGCCCCCGCCTTCCGTTCGGGCCCCCCACCACAACTGGCGTCATCGGTGCAGAGGGCAGAGATGGCGTCGACGATGGCGCTCTAGGGCGTCCGGCGTCATGTGACTCGGCAGGGAGGACCGAGGCGTCATGGCGGAGCTTAGGGGTGCGTCGGAGGGGCTCGGAGATGGCTGTGGCCATGGGGGAGCTCGTCGGCGGCGACGTCTGCGTTCGGCCGCGCTCGTGGAAGGGGCTAGAGGGCGAAAGAGAGAGCAGAGAGTGAGGGAGAGGAGCGAGGGGACTACGGGGCGTCTCCAGACGCGTCGGGGGCACCTCAGTGGCAAGCAGGAGGTGGCCAGGGCGGCGTCGGCGCTCGCCACCGAGCTGCTTCGGGGTGAGGGGGAGGAAGACGACAGAGGGGAGGAGGTGGGCTTGGCCGGCCAGCTCAGATGGGCCGCTAGGTGGGCTAGAGCGCCAGGTAAGTGCCCAGGTAAGTCTCTCACTCTTTTATTTCTGTTTTCTATTTTCTGTCTGTTTGTTTTGACTTTATTAAAAATGCCAGAGCATTTTCAGAAATCATGAGACTTCTTATGGCCACTATTTGGATTATTTCCAACAGCAAACATTTCAGTTCATGAATATTTGGACATTTAGAATAAGATATAAAATTTAAATGCCCAAATGCAAATAAGGTATGATTTAGTTCAGAGCCCAAATATGTCATGGAAAAATGTGCATCACCTCTGGTACTGTTTACAACATTTTCCATAAATGATGAACATTTTTGAAAGCCATTTGGATTTACTGAAAATATTTTAGGTGAACCTAGTGAATTCCTTTGATGCTAGGGGTTTAGGCAATCCCCATTTCAAGTTTCTTTGGAATTTAAACATGATGGCAAGAAGAACAAGCAAAGTCAAGCAAGGGCTGAACTGGGGCTGTGACAGCTCACCCCCACTAAACAAGAATCTCGTCCCGAGATTCAAGCATAGGGTAAGGTGAAGGGGGGAACACAAGCTAACATAATCTTCACGATCCAGGTTGCACCTCATAAGGTTGTTGATTCGTTGCATATGTTGATCTTGACATCCTCGCTTTTGAGATCTTCATCCACGCGATGACAATGAAAAGAAACCCTACTAGGATTGGTCTTCTCGAAGATCGAGCTATACAATATCACTCGCGGAATGAGATGTTGAAACATCTCGAGTTGAGACACAAAACACATCGAGAGGGATGGAAGAACAATGACAGGGTTTGATTTGGTGGGCAACAATTCCATGCTTAGAAAGATGGTGGATGGTGTCAAGGTGGGGAGGAAATAATTGCCATGATCTCGTAACGGGGCACCTTGGGAAAGGTGACTCGTTGGACTA